AAGTTTGTTTTATTTTTTTGATTTTCCCCCCCACTTCCCCCCTATCGGGGTTTTCCCGATTTTCCATTCGTATAATCGCCTATATCTCGGAGACTATAAGACCTAGGAACACCAAATTTTAGTCCAAGATGCCTTGTGTAAATACGCAGAAAGTGTGTATTTTGGAATTTCCCTCCCTCCCCCTCTCCCCCGTAAATGCGATTTTCTCTAACTCTCGTAATTCTTGGAATTTCGAACTAAAATTTTGGAAATATCCCCAGTTAGTAATTATGTGTCCGTATGCCAAGTTTCACTATGATAGACCGATTTACCAAGAAGTTATAGCCATAAATATATTTGCTGCTGCAGCGCTGCTCAAGCGCTGCCCGCGGCTCTTGTTGATGTTGCTGTTTGGTTGACTGCGAAAATGCTTACACAGACACGAATAGATGCGCATAGGCATACATACACTCACACAGACGCAATTGCTTTGTATATGTGCAATTATACACCCTTTACGTGAGTTCGAATACCGAAAGAGGTAAAATCGATCCAAACTTTTTTTATACCCTGTACCCGTAGGGTAAAAAGGGTATATTAGGTTTGTGCAAAGTATGTAACATATAGAAGGAAGCATCTCCGACCCCATAAAGTATATATATTCTTGATCAGCATGACGAGAGAAATCGATCTAGACATGTCCGTCCGTCTGTCCGTTTGGATGAACGCGAGGATCTCAGAAACTATAAAAGCTAGAATAACCAAAGTTGGCATCCAGATTCTCCTAGGTCCGAGTAAGGACGAGTTTATTTTATTTTTTGGAATTTTCCTCCCCTTCCCCCGCTACAGAATTTCGTCAATAGCGTCCACATTTCAAATGCTACGTAAACCAAACTTTGCACACATAATTTCTATATAATTATCTACTGTTGTTGTTTAAAATTTTATTAAATTCGGTCAATTCTAAGAAAAGTTATTAGCGAAACAAATTCTCGCCAGTACAACCCATCAAACTGCAGCAACAAGTTCGCTCTTCTATTACACTTCTATTACACTGTCGGGCTTGCTCGACTGTAGCGTTCTCTCTTTTTTAATTTTCTTAATTTATTTAAATTCTATAATTATTCTAAACATATGTACAGAGTATTTCAAAGTCGGGACATCCGAATGTAGCTTTTGTAATTGTTTTATTTTTATTTTTGTCGACAGGCAATGCGTTTAAAAAACAAAAATCCTATGACTCCAGGATATTTAACTTGTTTCATTTTTAAAAAGCCACTGATATCGACTTAGCTAATTGTTTGTTGAATAACTATAATATCGATATGGCGGAAACACAAAAGATGGCTTCTCCAATGTAATGGCGCGGCTAGCATTATTTCGTAGTGCCAACATATGTGCCCCTGACACGAGAAAAGCCACGACTTAGTGCGACTGTTGCATACACACCATTTGATCCTTTCACAGGATAAAAAAAACGAGTGCCTATGGAATTGTTTAATAACATCGCTGTTGCATTTATTGTCAATTGTAATGAAAAATCCCGGGACCAAACGGAAACACTTTTTATGTACATATGTATGCAAATGTGTTCGTACTAAATGTAACAAATATATTATTTATTGATGTAAAGCTTGTGCTTTTATTAATTTAATTTATCATGTTTTCCGAACTCCAGTTTTTAATTATTTGTGTGTTCAGCTTAATTTCCTTTGCATAGTTATGTTTTTTGTAAGCTATACATGCCAACTATGATACAAAATCAAATCGAATCTCAAATCTTTTTTGAATTTAACAAGCTTTATTGAAAAAATGTGCACTCGCAACGTATGCATCGCAGCTCGGGCAACTAAAATAAATATAGGATGAAATATAAATAGATGAATGCAATTGAAAATGCGTTGACTGTGACGCGGACTACCAGTCGCTTTAATTTACTGGCCGGAAAAAAATGGTAGCTCACAAAAAGGCGCAATGCCGTATATCTATTTTGACACATCGTACACGTATGTATGGATGAAATATTGCTGGTAAATATAAATTTAATTGCACAAAAAGATAAACAAGTTGGCATACAGCAATGTTAAAACAACAGAGACTGTTCCAGTCGGCAAAGCCCGACCGTTAAATACTCGGTAGCCATAAAGATTCCCCCGCTGTAGAAAAAATAACGATATTGTTACTGCAGGGTTCTAACGGTAGAACGGGGGGTGGGAGTAATGCTGTATAACTATTATTTCGCAAATAACTTTTCAAGAATATAAATACATTATAAACTAAAAACTAAAAGAAATAAATGCAATTGTATGGAAGGATTGCAGCGTAGGGTTACGGATGCCGATACAATTATATTGTAAGCACGATGTTGAACGGCTGGTTATAAATTGAATTTGTACTCGCTTTGAGCACCCTAAACCAATCCTGAAGAAGCAAGAGAAGTCGTTCACCAGTCTGTATGACAAATTACACATTTTAAATTTATATACTAAAAGTATACCTACTTATGTGACAATAAATATGTATATATATAATATTTACCTAAAATTTGATATATACATAAACCGCAGTACAGTTGTAAGATTTTTATAGCTGAAATTTGTTTCCTGGAATTTATATTCATACATACATTCATACATGGCAGAGGAAAACTACGACCTCTGCCACTAAAAATTAAAATCGCATTTGAATTTAATTAAGTTTTGCATTAATTTTGATTTTGGCCACGGGCTTTATTAATACTCTTTCATCTCATGCAGGGCACACATTCGTTCTTTTATAGTATAAACTATTTATTTGTTGTTGATATTTTTAAATACAAGCTTAACTTTATGATTAAATATTAAGCCCAACTCGCGCGCTATTTTGATGGGATTTAGTTATTCAATCGCTTCGTTTTCATTCATTTATGCTTCTGCTTATAAATTTAATTAGTACTCGTATATTATTTTAATTAGTTGGTTGTTTTATTTTGTTTCCGTTACTAAAAAAAGCTCATTGCGTGTTTTGTGGCTGGTATTTGTTGTTGCTGTTGCTGTTTATGTTGTTGCATGCAACTGAAAGTTGCTCGTATGCTAACAGAAATCCAAGCTAAGCGCAGCAAATTCATACAAATCTCGAATACAAAAGATGGAAATATGGCTATACATATAGAAGACCCGTTCACTTACACATACAGTTTTACAGAACAACATCAATATACTTGTATATGTAATGTGTAAATGTACTGTGTGTGTGTTTGTATTGGTTTTGTTGTCTATGTAGTATGTGTGTCATCGTGTTTATTTTTATTTAAAAAAATAATTAATTTTCGTTTCGACTGAAATAATGCCCCTGGAGCTGTTGCTGTTGTTTGATTTCTGCTGATTTCTGCTGGCTAGCTCAAATTTGTATACAGACATAAGCATATAGTATGCACTACATACATATGTATGTATGTTTAATGCTTGTGTATTATATTGCAGGTACCTGACACTGAAATATCAATTTAGGTTCTTTGATTGAGTTTTTCATTGTGTACTGGGAAGTTGAGCGAGCAAATAAACTTCAAAGCGAGAGGGAGAAAGATCAACTCGTTTGTTAGTGTTTTTTTATGACTTCGTCACTTGCGTGTAAATGCGCCTAAAAGCGAGCAATAATCTGCAAAAATAACTTGTGGTATAAATACATTGATAGACACATACTTTTCTACATACGCATAAGTATGCTATAAATGTATACGTATATGAAAAAACTTTGAGTTCACTTGAAGATTACGCGTAGCTAAAATACACATACATATACTATATATGCATCTATATGTTAGTTATACATTATACAGTTCTAAGCTTGTAAATATTTATTTTTGCTAATTTTAGTTTGTTTGATTTGGTTTTCACAATACCATTTAGCACTTAACTTAGTTTTTGTTGTTTCTTTGTTTTTGGTTGTTGCTTTTGTATTAATTCGACTTAGCTTTGGTTTAATTTTAACACTTAGGGTTGTGGCAATCGGAGTCCCGGCCTTGGCCATTCACTCTGGCACTGGCACCAAAGACTCCAATTATTGGACGAATTGTTGATATTTGTTGCGATTATGTTCTTTGCTACATTTGCGCAGCCTTGCACAGTTGCACAGTGAGTGGATAAGATTTACTTAGTGTGTGTTGCATAGCGCAGGACGCATAGCCTAGACATTAAACATTAGACATTAGTTGAAGTTGGACTAGAAGCCCAGCATATTTTGAAAGCTTGAAGGCAAATTTGCCTATTTAAGTAAGTAGATTGTATTTATGTGTGCATGAGTGTGTGTATGTGTGTCTAAATGTATATGTACCCTGCAGTTCGGCTGGTAGCTGGTGCCGCTTGAACACAACGACAGCTGAATGACCAGTGCCTTCATATTCCAAAGATTTACTTGCAACTGAACGCATGTGTGTGAACAACTGAAGCAATATAAAGGGGCCTAACACTACGCCGACAACAGTTTGTAAAATCTGAACGTAGAACCTTCGCTGCCATCGCACCGATTTGTTACAAAATATCAGATTAGCAACGGACTGGTACTGGTGCGCAGAGCTACAGGGTAAGGAAACTGAATAACATACATACATACGCGCAACACTCAGCACACAATCACATGCTTCGACAAGCACAAGTTGCAATTTGTTGCACTTTTTAAGCATTAAGTAGGTGCACAAGCGCCGAGCTTAAGTGGCGGCTGTGTGTGAGTGTGTGTGTGCGTGCATACAAGTATATTGCAGCTGTTTATGCTAGCAAGTAAAGCGGCTTAGTTTCATTTGGCTTTTAACAGTTACTAGTTTGTAGAATAAATGTTTTGCATTTTGTTTTAGGCTTTAGGTTTCGCCGTTTTCGGCTTTTAAATTACACAACATTGAAAGCACACACAACAAGTATTAATGTTTAATTAGTACAAATACAAATTACGCATTATTACACACAGATTTATTTATACTTGTATGAGTAGAAAACATGTTAACAAGTATGCTCAAAACTCACTCATCTCTTACTGTTAACTTTGCAGGATCTGCTTTGAGCCTAAACATTGCGAATTGAGCCTAAACGTATGCTACAGTTTTTTGCGTTTCTTTAATCTATCACCTTGCAATATTGCACTACTTAGAGACTACGCCTTAGAGAACTAGCTTTACTTAACACAAATCACAAGCCCCCCACTCCGCTTATACACATGCATATACTACGTCTCCTTTCTATGTGCACTTGGAGTCCCCCAAATTGGACGGCGGCCATTGGCGTTTGATGACAGCAAAGTGTGTCATCTGAAAGGTGTTCGTCTGTTGGCACCGACGCTCCACAAAGCCGGTCAAACAGTATCCCATGTTATAGTCCTCCATTGAAATGTTCGATGTCAAATATAATTTGAATTCGTCGTGCGGCAGTTTTGAAGCAGCAGCTGCTGGTCGCCGAAAGTGCCCTGCAATGAGCAGCGAACCTTGCTGCTCCAAGGGTAGCATTTTCGCCTTTGTTGCCTGGCGTTGCGTGCCAGCGCATTCCACAATGCGACAGCGGTTGGGCTGCCACCAGCAGGGCGTTATAGTCCAGTAGCTGGAGCTGGCGGTGCGCGCCCATCCCTCCTCCGGATATAGCAGAATCTGAAATGGCAAAGAAACCAGATTGTTAGTTAATAGTCAATAGTGGTTGTGCTATCAAACTGAGAATTGCAATTAAAAAATTTACGTTTTTTCTTCCTCTGAAAATATACGATTCGTAAGGGTTTTCTTGGATATTAATTTGAAAAACATTCGGTTTTATGTTTTTACTTTTGGATGTGGAAGATTTTACAATCTATTTTAACCGGCAACCGCCATTTACAAGTATAGTAGTTTTGGTCCCTGGTCGACCAGGGATGCACGTTAATATCGATAATAATCGAGATTCCTCTCGATCGTGGCTCGATAGGAATTGAATCGGTGTACTCGTATTACATTGTAGGTTAAGCTTTGTTATATTAATAAAAGGAAATATCGTTATACACCTGAGCTGAATTGAATTGAATTCAATCAAATGCTATTTTTATGAAGCTTTTAATTGTATTGGGAAAATTATCGATTTTCAATACATAATAGTATGATAACGCATCGGAAAAACATTATTTTATAAATTTTGAGTTTCTAGTCCCCCTTACATTATGTTACCACATTGGAAATAAACATAAAATGATTGACAAATATTATAAAGGTATGCAAAATAATAGATATGTTTTTAATCCTTCTTGGAAAATGAATTGAAATTCGGACATTGTCGGGTTTCATGTGGTTCATATGCTTCATTCATAGAGAGTTAGTGGGATGACTTCAAAAAATAGTTTGAAAACTGATCTATTTTCGTGCATTTTGAAAGAGACTTAAAGGTCAAATGGACCATAGAAAATTGCTTACCACTAAACAGCTAAGTATAATGTTGCTCTCAAACTATATTATTACTATCATAGCTTTATAATATAGAGCAGTAAAAATGAAGCTCGGTTCCATCGAAAGGTGTTGTTTGTTTGTTTTTTAAATGAATTAATTCAAAAATGGCGACCATTATGACATAGTTATAGACTAGTGACATGAGCTCAATCCTCATTAATTGTTTCATTTGAAAATCTTAAACCACTTCCGTTAGCCAACAATAAAATCGGAAAAATAAAAGTGGAAAAGAGAAAGCCGGGTGCCCCGACATTCAAATACTCTATACCTACATATGTGTACAATGATTATTTAAATATAAATATAAACAAAATTTAAAAAAATATTATAAAGAGAGTTTTTGTGTTTGTATGTTTGTTTCTTTGAATTGAAAAGACTCCGAATCTAATGGACCGATTTAATGGATTCTTTCACTGTTGGGAAGCTACTATCGACGGTGAACATGGGCTATATTATAATTGCAAACAAGAATGGAATCCTTGCTAAAACGCCAATAATGTAACCAAAGGTGTACAAAAATTATCTTAAAAAACTCCTGAATAACATGCTGTTAGTTCATAATCATCCTCGAAACATTGTCACTTTAAATATTAAGGCAATGTTATTCAAAAGCCCCCAGCAAAATAAAAAATTACAAATCGATTGACACCGTGATTAATATTGAAGACATTTAAATTAACTAAACCCTTCTGGACTGCCGCCACATGAATTGACGGTAAAATTCGGAATTGCAATCATGCTTTAGATAAATTAAAGCCTTCCAAGCATGTGCAATGGAACGAGGCTGTTTATTAAGGAATTGCAGGACAATTTAAGTGTAGCAACTATTATCAACGGCCCAGCAACTGATCAACTAGCTCATATAACGAGGATACCAAGGATACCGATGATCCCATTTGATCATTTATATGGCTTCAATTTCCGGTAGTCCCAAGGCCAAGCCTTCGAATTAGTAGGGAACGACATACGAAAGCAATGTTTTACGGTATGTTAACCTATCACGGGTCGGAGCTCCTGAAAATCAATTTATTTTGCTACCACAAAATAAAACATCAAATATCTTTTACAGAGAACCACTGACCTAATACAAAATAACAAAAAAATATAAAAACGAACAAAAAATCATTAAAATAATAATATTCAAAATAAATTTCACGCCTTTTTAGTAGCTCATAGCAAAAAGAAGGGTGTATGTGTGTTCAATGTGTGTGTGTTATAAAAGGTATAACTTTTAAAATTTTTGTAAAAATACCCGTGCGAAGCAGAGGCAGGACGCTAGTTTAAATATAAATATAAACAAAAATTAAAAAAAAACAAGTAAAAAAGCTAAAGTCGGGTGTCCCGACTTTGAAATACTCTGTACATTACATTACATATTGTAAACATTAATTATAGAAAATAAAAAAAATTAAGAAAATAAAAAAAAATTTGATCGATTTTACCTCTCTCGGTATTCGAACTCACGTAAAGTGTGTATAATTGCACATTTACATAGCAATTGCGTCTGTGTGAGTGTATGTATGCCTATGCGCATCTATTCGTGTCTGTGTAAGCATTTTCGCAGTCAACCAAACAGCAACATCAACAAGAGCCGCGGGCAGCGCTTGAGCAGCGCTGCAGCAGCAAATATATTTATGGCTATAACTTCTTGGTAAATCGGTCTATCAGAGTGAAACTTGGCATACGGACACATAACTACTAACTGGGGATATTTGCAAAATTTTAGTTCGAAATTCCAAGAATTACGGGAGTTAGAGAAAATCGCATTTGCGGGGGAGAGGGGGGAGGGAGGGAAATTCCAAAATATACATTTTCTGCGTATGCACATAAGGCACCTGGGACTAAAATTTGGTGTTCTTAGGTCTTATAGTCTCCGAGATATATGCGATTATACGAATGGAAAATCGGGAAAACCCCCATATGGGGGAAGTGGGGGGGGGGGGTGGAAATCAAAAAAATAAAACACACTGGTATAGAATACACACATAAGGCATCTTTGTGCAAAATTTGGTGTCTCTATCTCTTATAGTCTCTGAGATCCAGGTGTTCATACGGACGGACAGACGGACAGTCGGACAGACGGACAGACAGACAGACAGACAGACAGGGCTAGATCGACTCGTCTCGTCATGCTGATCAAGAATATATATACTTTGTGGGGTCTGCCACGCCCTCTTCTGCCTGTTACATTTTTCAGCTCCGCAAACCTAATATACTTCTGTACATTTCATGTACAGAGTATAATAAAAGTAGAAAAGCTTAAGTCGGGTAGCCCTCTAGGTACAGAGTATAGAATGCTAAGGCCGCAGTGATAAATAATATATACATTTTGTGCGGCCTGCTACACCTCTTTCTGGCTGTTATATTTTTTACCTTGCATAACCCTAATAGTATACCCTTGTAGTACACTTCATGTGCAGGTTATAAAAATTAACCTGAAACTGAAGTGACAGTTTTATTGCGTGTTTTTCACATTTGTCAGCTCGGCATTTTGTCGCGGTTGCTGTTTTGGAAACAATAAATAATATGTGTGTTAGTTTATAATCTGTTGAAAAAATTGCACAGCAGAGATTTTGCGTGCGGTTGTTGTGGTCGGTGTTGGGTTTGAATGAATACGAGAGGTGGAATTTTAAATATGCATTCGTAGGCATCTTTATATTAAATGGGGAATAGCCGGACGTATGCTTAATATGCAGCCAAACAAATATCAAGTATGCGCAGTGTGGCCGCGCAAAGCCTGTGTACTAATCAAACATTAAATTAGTGGGACAATGAACCTTGGGGGTTTCGCAGACTGGGCTTAAAGGTTGCAAGGGCTGGAATTTCAAAGGAATAAAAAGAACTTGAACAAAATTAAAATAAAGCAGTCGAGCATAAAAGGAAATAAAATTTTAAGGGAGTGGGCTTGCGACCCCCGGTGGTCGCAGCGGTGGCACCATCAGCAGCTGCTTTTGAAATTGAAGTGGTTGCAGTTCCAGATCTTTGTGTGCTTGTACTCGTATATTTTTTTTGTATTTATACCCTGTATACAAACGGTAAAAGGTATACCCTAGTTTAGTGTGAGTATGACAAGACCAATCGATAAAATCATGTCCGCCCGTCTGTCAGCCCGTCTGTATACTTGTAGTATTTGTATTTGTCTGCTTATATTTTTTTTTCTTTTTCCCGTCCACTCCCCCCGCTGCTAGTGATTTTTCATAAATTTTGTAATTCTTGGAATTGTTTACTAAAATTTAGAAAGTGCATTCCGTTAGTGCTTAAGTGACCTCATGTTTCATCATGTTAGGACAAAAGTAAAGAAAGTTATTGCCATAAGTGTAGTGTCTGCCCGAAGTTGTTGTCGTTGTTATTATGGCTTTGACATACACGCATAAACACGTAGATATAATCACGATACAAATGTATGCTATTGAAACTGTGCATAAGCATGAGTCATGTATGTATTAATTAAATTAATTTTTGAGGATTTAATGTATATATTTTTTGTATATCAGAGTTGAGAGTTCAGTTGACTCTAGCATTCCTTTCTTGTTTGTAGCTGAAGAGGGTATAGGGTATTTAAGAATTCGTCCCGCCCAAATCCAGCATTCCATTCTTGTTTGTTTTTGTTTTGTGGGAGTGGGTACGGGGTATTCAAGTGTTGAGCCTGTTTGACTCTAGCATGTCATTCTTGTTTCGCACACAAGGTGCAGCAGCCAGCCGGCGGGCTTATAACTTTAAAATAAAATGTCTGCATGGTTTCAATAAGCCGCAGGGCGACCAAAACGGCTATGCACGCCAACTCATGTATAAAATGGAGTCAGGTAGAACTCACCCGGCGGCAACGCTCGATTGTACGACAGGTAAATTCTGTAAAATGAATACGCCACAGACAACGCTTAAAAATGTATAAAATTTTCGCTTAACGCATTCAACAACGGCCTGAGCAAAAACAATGCGATAGTGAGGGGCCGCGACCGGGCATGTGCGACGCTTCAGTTCATGGTGCATTAAACTTAAATAATATCCATCACTTGACAATTAATGAAAATTAAACGATTTTTAAAGTGCGGCTTTCTCGAATTCGCTTGTTAATAAATTGCGGCATACGTGTGAGATCAGGGTAACAATAATTGATGGACTTTATTTGTTGGACTTAATTCGTTGCCAGGCAACCAAGTGGTGAAGAAGTATGTTTGAAG